GATCCAAGTTAATTTACAGCTTGGGAAGTCTAACAATGACCCAACTTAAACAGGGCTAGTAACCGGAGAAGAGGCAACATTTTCCCTCTGACATTTTAGTGACACACACTCTCACTCTGAGAGACACACACACACACACCTTTTGTACTACTGCTCTTCTGGGGACTTTAATCAACTATATTTGTTCCCTGATGGTGAACCTTCCCTCTAACTCCAGTTTAAACCAGTAATATCACTAACCTTTACTCTAAGACCAGACCTAGCTCTGATACAACCCTTCTACAATCCACTGTTGTTATCACTGCTGTGAAACTTGAGATTTTGAACTTTTAGTGATACTCAATCCAAGCACGATCTCTCTCTCTCTCTCACACAGTCATCGTGGTGAACGGCTGTTGACACTCCTCTAATCAAACCCGGGCTTTGATTAGAGGGGTAGGATGGTGGAGCAGTGCACCCATACGAGCGTCCTCACCTCATATTTCTGTTTATGCCCTCATCCTGTCATCACAGATGTCATCAGGGAAAAAGCCAAACTGCTGTTTTCCAGGGACAACAAATTGACTTGTGTTTAACCCTTAGGCACTGGCACGCAGCATGTCAACAACTGGCGCTGTAACGGAGCACAGGGAACCCTTAAACACGTCACGGCCCCGCTCTTAGTTTCCTGTCCAGTGTGGAGCTGTCTGTGTGTCTGTCAGAACACGTTTGTACCAGTGCTAGCAAAATATTTCCAGTAATGCCTCTAAGGTCAGTTTGGGTTTACAGTGATGTTTGGGTGTCGACTGACTGTCCCCTTCTTGTCCCACCGCCCAGATTTGAAAGTTTTCAGTTGGTGGTGCCAGGTCTTTGTTCTGTTGGTGTTGTTACCAAGAGCCTGACTGCTGTTCAGCCCAGCTTTGTTTAGATTTTGTCAGCTGGTGCCTGTACTCTCGTAGGATAAAGCTGCTAATATTCTGTATGTTTCAACAACAATGAGCAAGTGTTGTCTTCGTAGTCTCATATATCTTCTTCCTCTGTCCCATAGAGCTCCATTGTTGTCCGTAAACTAATCGCACACATACATGAGTCACACTGTTGACTTGTTCCTTCATTACCAACATATTTTAACTCAATCTCACAGACATTTAGCAGTAGATGGCCAGAAAGTGAGGCAGAGAGTCAGAAATCTGTGCAGCATCATTTCCTCTTAAGAAACCAGTACATCGATCAGCTTGATGGATGTATTATTGTCAATCTGTGTAATATAGATCTAATTTACTACCCCTTAAATGTCCCAGGAGTTTGAACCCTGTCTGCCTGCTGCTGCAGTTTTATAGTAAAATCTTTTGTCAGCAAATAAAATGGAGTTTTAAGGAGTAATTGTACACAAAAGCTTGTTTCCTGAGATTTTCTGTTTTCCTGTTTTTCCTACTCATTGTTTCCTGTTTTGATTTACTGCCCAGATTACATTCCCAAACTCCCATTCCTCTATCATCCTAATTCTTTACTCTTTAATCTCCCTCTGCTGCAGCCTAATTTGTACCCGACCGTGGGCCTTCAGACTCCAGGGGAGGTGGTGGATGCAAACTTCGGCCAGCACCCCTTTGTGTTCGACATCGAGGACTACATGCGTGAGTGGAGGACAAAGATCCAGGCCCAGATCGACCGCTTCCCCATCGGAGAGCGCGAGGGCGAGTGGCAGTCTATGATCCAAAAGTAAGTTCACTGTGAAATAATATGATATAATAACAGTAACTGCTAACCCGCTGTCTTTAGTGGGTTTATGCGTCCCGTCCATTTTTTTGGTATGAACGACAAAAATGAAAATGGAATAATTTCCGGTCGATATTGTTGCGTTAGTCGAGTAAAAAGTCTCGGCCCTTCTGATCAGCTCACAGTCTACTACAAACCTCTTAAAGCAAAATGTATGAGGAGGCCATATGAGCTAAGACCAACACAATTACTGCAGATATCGGATTAAAAAATACCATATTTGGCACAAAGTTACCTACAGTACTAACTCGCCTACTGCGTGTTGCAGCAGTACGTTAGTTTGTTTCTATAGTGAAATATTGCGACCACACCGATGCTTAGGTTGTCAATAAGAGGATGCAGATCAATATTAACGTTATCTGTTGCCACAAACGATGACTGGAAGCTGATTCATGACTATGAATTAAAATGTATATTGTAACAATAATAGCTCCTGTCATGGGAAACTTGGCAGTGTAATAGTGTAAGTAACCAAAGGAATCTCCACTGTGACTGTATGTTGTGGATGAAATATTGTATTAACACTCAACAGCTGTTATACTTATATATTATATATATTGTTATGAAAGCACTAATAAGAAACAAAGCAGTCTGACTGTATAATATAGAACTATAACCAGACTGTAACACACGCTGTGGTTGTTTGAGCAGCACATTAATGTTAATCCACAGCTCTTGATAACGTTACATTAACGTTGGCTTATTTTTCTTTAAATAGACGTCCGAGTGCTGGCCTGTATGTATGTGCGGTTGGTCCCAGCTGCCGACAGAGATATAACTTCACTGAAATGCTACATGTTTGTTAGTGCAGCAGGTCAAACGGCTAAATGAACCTCTATAGAAGAGATAATTGGGCACAGTGGAGGATAAAGTTTTACAACTAGGAGCTTAAGATGTGTATTTCCACAGAATGCAGGGTGCGGAGGAAGACGGTATTCACTAACCTTTTTGCCACAGTTTTTGTTGTCAGTGGTTATTTCTCATTTAGTTTTAATCTTGTTTTTGTTGTGGAGAAAAATGGTTGTCAACAAATATTTTTGTCATAGCTTTTGTTGACGATATTAACAGTGAAGACAAGGTAATGTGAAATATGTTGAATGTATCAGAGAGCTGGAGGCTCAGTCTGAGGTAACGGAAGGTTTTGGATTTGCTGTATATCGTTCATTATGTAGTTTTGTGTGTATTGCTTGAAGTTGAGCATTTAGAGCATCAGATACTGTAGGTGAGAGGAAATTACTGCTGACGTGACGAGGATCAAGGCCCAGACGGACTACTTCCCCATCGGAGAGCCGGAGCCGTGATCCAGAAGTAAAAGCTGTGGGATTCAGTTTCTCTTCATGCCATGCCCTGATGGGATTAGCTCTCTGTTGCTATGATTACTTGTCCTGAATGGATTTAATCTCCATTTGATGGGGATTGGGGTGGAGGGTGGGGTGGGGTGGAGAAAGGCCGTTGCTTTTATCCAGGAAAGTCGCCTCACGGCCCGGGATTGGAAACAGGAAGTTTTTAAGCTCACGTCAGATTGGTGGATGGGAAGATTTAATGTCTTCGTAGAGCGACAGCAACACGATGACGAGTCGGCAGGCCTATCCAAAAGTCAAACACACCTGCACACACATTGAACTGTTATCTTACACAGTTATCTCCAACTTTGGTCTAATGTTTGTGGTTTTGGTCATTTGTATTTGTGATAATTACACTGTACTCAGAAAATTCATGTCCCAGATTTGGAAACACATAAGAGCAGTGAGACGTTCAAAGAGATTGGAAACAAGCCAAAAGGTTTGTGGACATAAACAGTGGAAATAAAGGCTAACGGTACAATTATTAACCAACTGTCTATTGTAAAACACAAACCAGTTTCCTGCTTCAACTCTGACCTTCTCTATTTACCTCAGTTGTGTACACAGTTTTCCTGTACAATGAGGGATAATTAGTTTGCACACGTTGAGCTTTACCTCCAGATACAATACTGAATAAACTGTTTCCTTGTTTACATCCTGTGTAAACATCTGACCGCTTGTCTTTTTAAGTTTCCAGATCTCAAACCCAAGTAGAGTTTCAAAATTCCTGCTTGACTTTGGGAATAACAAAACAATCATCAGCCCACAGCTCATTCAGACGGTCCGCAGCAGCAGATTGAGTTTGCTCAATTACCATGATCCAAATTGTGATGAACCAAAATGAACTTTAATGAACTGAGTGCAGATCTAGTTGGTTTAATCAAGATCACACTCACAACAAACAACTGTGTCCAACCAGGCAGATGTTGAACAGGGGAATGGGGCTGTAAGTAAGGACACATCTAATTTAGTCTCTACAGGAAAACCTTGGTAAATATTGTTTGGGTTTGTTCCAGTTTGACCCAAATCGACAAATCGTATTTATTGAATGTTCAGTTTGGAGTTTTCTTGTTTCTGGATGGAAGTTAACAACTTTATAAATGTACTTTAAGGATCAGCTCAAGTCTCTACTAGATATTTAAAATGAGACACGTTATTGTTCCAAGGCAACTGATGGGTTTTCTTTCCACATTAAAGTCCTTCGCTCCTTCTACCTCATTAAACATTTCAGAATCTATGAATATGCAAATTGTAAAGTTTTCCTGATCAACACACAAGATGTTTCCTCCTTCCCTTTAAAGTCCATTCTCAGTGTGTGTGCAC